CAGTCCCTTTGGTAAGTAAAATAAAGTTTCATGATCCACTCTTCTAGTTCTTGGTGTGTTTACTAAAAAAGTCTGTAGTACTATGATTGATGCATATATGTGACTAGTGACTACTACACTTACAATCACTTGAATTTGTATGTAGATAATGGATAACAACAATGCAGTAGCTATTATTGTTAAATATCTACTTGTTTCACATGATTGGTCTAAAGAAGCAAATCAACTTAAGCAAAAGGTTCAACAAACATTGTTAACACCAAAAACAGAACAAAAAAAACTAAATGGGCATATCTGGTTTCTTGCCAACATCACAAGTGTCCTCTAAGACAGTACCTCCATTGGGGATTTCACCATTGGGTATCTCTGCAGAAGCTGAATCAATGACCTCTTCTTGTTCTTCTTCTACTTCTTCTACCTCTCCTACTTCTCCTACTTCTTCAACTTCTTCTTCAACCTCTTCTACTTCTTCCATTTCTTCTACTTCATCTTCTTCTTCTTCGATGCATTGTGGCGGGTCTAGAAACGAAGCATCCGGGTCTGCATACCAACGTGCACATGGCCACCTAAAAGCAATGACCAAAACCCAAGATAAACAGTATTATCATCCAAAAATACAAACACACAGTCGAAAACTTATGACAAAAACCTCTGTTTTATACACCAATCTGAAAACTTACACGCTTGAACAAATGGTTTCACCATCAATTGTTGTTGTCTCCTCATATTCATCCACTGAAACAAAAACAACAACACCCAAAAAAAGATCAATTTTTTAATGAAATCTTAACCACAAGAACAAGTACAACAATGAGACTAATAACCTTGAGAGAAGTGCTTATCCATGAGATACTTCCTAAAGTCAGCTTCGTATCTTCGATACTTCTCAGCATACTCATCGCTATCCAGATACCTAAGAATGAAATTGGTATTTGTGAACATTCAATTTTAGGTTCTTCAATTGCACCACAAAGAATGGAAATTTTCAAAATTCATGAAAGCAAAATTACTTGTAAAAAGATGGTTCTTCGTCAACCAATTGATCTGTTAAAATTCCGTTGCTATTCACAATATCCATCCTCTGCAATACAATCAGAGTTTTATAGATCGTGTAAATTACTCTGTGAGAGAGCACAGAGAGCGGAGAGAGTACCGTAATTTGTGGCGCCGGAGAGGGAGGAGCGGCGGAAATGAGTTCAGAGATGACTGGAATCTCATGCGGCGGTGGCTGCTCCACCTGCGGAGGCCGAATCGCCGGAGATGTAGCACTCTCGCTAGTCATACGTTTTCAGTTTTTTTTAATGAAATTTATTTTTGAAAACTCAATCTATTGACGGTGACTATGATTGTACACTATCTTTGGTTTTTTTTGTCAACTTTTTATATTAGAATCAATTTATGAAGACTAGGTTTTTGTCTTTTATATACTTCTATATTAAATTCATTTTTGTAATTTGAAATTTATTAATTTAAATATAAAATATTATATATTTTCCCGCATAATTAAGTAATTTTGTGTCAAAAAACATTTCCGCGTAATCGGTTGCTTTTTTTACTTTCGGAATTTGATCAATTTAGTACGATATTTGTTGTGTGTATATGTATATACTAAATTTATATAAGAATAGGTAATTATATGCCTACGCACCGTTAAAAACTAAATTGTTGTATTGTAGTTTAGGTAGTATAGTTAAAAACTGCAAATTAGTTTGTAAGTGACCATTACCTCCACTAGATTGAAAATCCTCTGATACATTAAGATGAGATTATAGTTTGAAAAAATCTTCTAGAAACATCTCTAACCGGGAATATGCAAGAAGGTCACGTATGCGCAAAAAGAAGCAGATCGAAGAGCTGCAACAACAAGTTGAACAGCTCATGATGTTGAATCATCACTTGCATGAGAAAGTCATCAACTTGTTGGAAAGCAACCACCAAATCCTGCACGAGAACTCACAGCTGAAAGAGAAAGCCTCTTCCTTTCACTTGCTCATGGCAGATGTGTTATTACCCATGAGAAATGCATAGAGCAATATCAATGACCGCAATGTGAATTATCTAAGAGGAGAAACATCAAACCGTCCCACCAACAGTCCCTTTGGTAAGTAAAATAAAGTTTCATGATCCACTCTTCTAGTTCTTGGTGTGTTTACTAAAAAAGTCTGTAGTACTATGATTGATGCATATATGTGACTAGTGACTACTACACTAGCAATCACTTGAATTTGTATGTAGATAATGGATAACAACAATGCAGTAGCTATTATTGTTAAATATCTACTTGTTTCACATGATTGGTCTAAAGAAGCAAATCAACTTAAGCAAAAGGTTCAACAAACATTGTTAACACCAAAAACAGAACAAAAAAACTAAATGGGCATATCTGGTTTCTTGCCAACATCACAAGTGTCCTCTAAGACAGTACCTCCATTGGGGATTTCACCATTGGGTATCTCTGCAAAGCTGAATCAATGACCTCTTCTTGTTCTTCTTCTACTTCTTCTACTTCTCCTACTTCAACTTCTTCTTCAACCTCTTCTACTTCTTCCATTTCTTCTACTTCATCTTCTTCTTCTTCGATGCATTGTGGCGGGTCTAGAAACGAAGCATCCGGGTCTGCATACCAACGTGCACAAGGCCACCTAAAAGCAATGACCAAAACCCAAGATAAACAGTATTATCATCCAAAAATACAAACACACAGTCGAAAACTTATGACAAAAACCTCTGTTTTATACACCAATCTGAAAACTTACACGCTTGAACAAATGGTTTCACCATCAATTGTTGTTGTCTCCTCATATTCATCCACTGAAACAAAAACAACAACACCCAAAAAAAGATCAATTTTTTAATGAAATCTTAACCACAAGAACAAGTACAACAATGAGACTAATAACCTTGAGAGAAGTGCTTATCCATGAGATACTTCCTAAAGTCAGCTTCGTATCTTCGATACTTCTCAGCATACTCATCGCTATCCAGATACCTAAGAATGAAATTGGTATTTGTGAACATTCAATTTTAGGTTCTTCAATTGCACCACAAAGAATGGAAATTTTCAAAATTCATGAAAGCAAAATTACTTGTAAAAAGATGGTTCTTCGTCAACCAATTGATCTGTTAAAATTCCGTTGCTATTCACAATATCCATCATCTGCAATACAATCAGAGTTTTATAGATCGTGTAAATTACTCTGTGAGAGAGCACAGAGAGCGGAGAGAGTACCGTAATTTGTGGCGCCGGAGAGGGAGGAGCGGCGGAAATGAGTTCAGAGATGACTGGAATCTCATGCGGCGGTGGCTGCTCCACCTGCGGAGGCCGAATCGCCGGAGATGTAGCACTCTCGCTAGTCATACGTTTTCAAAAACATCTAAATGAGAAAGGTTGTCAACCAAACAAACAAAGTTTAGATGTTTTTGAGAAGAAAAATTACTAAAATGCCTATGTTTTCATCTAATAATATTTTAATCCTTAATCTTAACCATATTAATTTTAATTATTGATCAAATATATATTTCTAACCAAAGAAATTTCAAATTATTATATTTGACATTTATAAATTTTCATTTTCATGAAATTAATTTTTTTTTATAAGAACCAAAGCCTATGTTATGACAATTAAGGATCCAACATCATTACCAAACATAAACTCCAAAAATCTTAATAACAACAATCAGTCTTCTCTACGTTGAACCAGAAGAGATTATTTAATCAAATTGTGTAAACGTCAAATTTACAACTAGACACTAGAGTTCCCAAGAAACATGAAAGACACTAGACACTAGAGTTCACATGACACTATCTTGAATGATAATGCAACATGCACATGATGATAATGTACCATAAACCATGGTGGAGTCAACCAAACTCGAACAGACATTACAAGCAAAGCTGCGTAAGAAATTCAGACTAATTTTAGCTGACTCAAACAAATTATTCAGTAAAAGAAATGAGGGCAAAACAGACTCAAATTTATAGAACAAAAAAGAGAGAAAGATATTCACAAACAGAAGCAAAGCTGTTCCTGGATTTACATGCTTCGTTGCAGACAAATCAAACTCAAAAAAGTCATATAACAGGGGTTTCATTTAAGGAAGGAACTCTCAGATTTCCAGAACACACTTAAAAAGCTAGTGAACAAAGTGGATGATCTTGTGGTTAAAACCTCACTTGAAATCTTGTGGTTAAGGAGATGATCAAGTTCTCATTATCTTAGAGATTTTGAAAATTTTAAGAGATCTCTAGTGAACAACTATGTTTTTTTTTGCAAGTTAAGTTTAAGTTGGTGCATTAGCCGCTTAGAGCTCAAGATTCATGTCTACTTGAAATCCCAGTAATCAGTAAACCAAAGAAAGTAAGTTTCATCTAAAGCTAGTTTGGTGCACTGACACACTTAAAAAGACTAAACACTAACGAAGAAGCCACAGAACTAAACACACAATGGCAGCTTTAAATGGTGAAACAGATCAAACATCAAACAATGGCAGCTTTAGATGGTGAAACAGATCAACTCAATACAAAATCAAACATCAAAAACGATAATAGCCTATAAGCATTAGAAACACGAAATCAAACAAAGCCACAACACTCGTCTCCATTGGTACACATAAACTCAATACAAAATCATGAATTAGAGATATATCATACCTCTCAAACAGTGGTTGCAGCGATTTCAATCCGTAACACCTGAAACCCACTTCGAGATTTCAATGACTAAAGGAGAAATCAAATCCAATAATCAAACCCATGAGTCTTACCTCTCAAACAATGGTCGCAGCTAATTCAATCGTAACACCTAAACCCACGCACGAGAGAGAAGAAGACAGCCGGCGGAGAGATCAAAGAGGAGTGGAGTGGAGTGAGAAGATCAAAGAGGAGTGGATTCCGGCGAGAGATCCGGCGGAGAGATCCAGCTGCGAAGAGATCCAGCTTCGGTGCGAAGGATCTCGTTTCTCTTCTCACGTTGTCGAAGGATGGCTCTCTGAGTCTCTGTCGTGGAATGAATGATGAGAAGTAGGTTTAGGTTTTTTGGTGTAATTTTCCAAATTAGATAGGGGTATTTAGGTCATTTTGTATTTTAGACTGCGATCAGCTCCAGTCAACTGTTCCGATCAGACTCAGTCGGAAAATGATCATTTTTTGGATAAGTTTGATAAAAATCATCCAACTAGTTCAGCTCTGTAAAATTGTTATAAACGAACATTATAACTCATCTCCATTCATATGATCCATCTGAATGGAGAAACGAACAGCACCTTAGTAAATAGGACATGTAAACATGATAATCTAGTAAAATTCATATGGCGTAATGATTTTTTTCCTTCTAATCCAAAAAATGATCATTATGTTTTCCATAAAATCATATTATTGTAAGATCTGTACCACCGCCAATTATGGTACTCTGATCCTATATATGTTAATTGTTGAGCACGAAAAAAAGAGAAATTGGTACATCAAAAAAGCATTCAATACCACAAATGATTTGGTACTCACAAATAAGATCTTTTAGACAATGAAATTGATGACCGATCGAGATCAACATCCGCAACTATCCTCGATATTTCAATATAAATCACTAAATCATATTTCTACATTCACAAAAAACAAACACATCCATCTTTCATATCGAAAACAACTCTACAAAAATCTATCCAAATCAAAACATATCACAATCTGTTTGCTACCCAGCCGTATGTGTATGTATGTGAGTATGCGTGTGTTATGTACAATAAATGGAAGTATGATAGACGAGAGCTGTGAGATGTTGATGGGAGATGGGCCTAGTGGGCCCAATGATCACGTGACAGATGTGATGATGTTATAACGAGCTAGGACCCATGGGCCTTAAGAAGACTTTGCTATCTCAACCGACCACCGACGACTGAACCTTGAGCATTGATGGTGACCTTTCCACTCAACTCACTGACACGCCCCGTCGTTTTAGTAAACACTCTTCATATGTATTAGAGTATAGTATCTCTGCGGAAAAATCATTGCCAGCTACACGAACTATACGCCAACACATCACCACACATGCAGACTATTTTAATGTCTCGCTAACTACACGAACTATTGGTATTACATACGGACATCCCTGAACTATCATCGGTTATGTGTGCAACACCATAACCATCATTTCCAAATAATATAAATGTCTTGTTAACTACACGAATTATTTCTTTTTTTTGTCAACTACACGAAGTATTTTCATCATTTTTTTAAAAAAACTAATAATTTAAATAAAACTATATAATATATCAATGTAAATTATATATGTACATTATAACTATTCTAACTTTAAAATTTTAATGTAATAAAGACTAAACTAGTTCCATAAAAAATATATGTGTTCATTAAAAATTTGTTAATTAACTTAAACCTATAATGAACATGTATAATTTAATTAAGTGACACTTTTAAAAATTTAGTTAAATTAATTTCATATAAAACATATGTGTGCATTAAAAATTAGTTAATTAATTTAACTTAAAATTATAAGGGATACTGCATATGTAGAATTTAAACTTTAAAAGTTATAATGCATATATATAATTAACAATAGTGTATTATTTACTTTTAGTTATTTTTTCATTTTGTAATTTAGTTTTAAAAAAATGATGGAAATATTTCGTGTAGTTAACAATACATTTATATTATCTGGAAATGATGGTTATGGTATATATAATTTACATTGATATATTATATAGTTTTATTTAACTTATAGTGATGTATAATTTAAGGAAAAATCATTGCCAGCTACACGAACTATACGCCAACACATCACCACACATGCAGACTATTTTAATGTTTCGCTAACTACACGAACTATTGGTATTACATACGGACATCCCTGAACTATCATCGGTTATGTGTGCAACACCATAACCATCATTTCCAAATAATATAAATGTCTTGTTAACTACACGAAATATTTCCTTTTCTTGTCAACTACACGAAGTATTTTCATCAATTTTTTTTTAAAACTAATAAGTTAAATAAAACTATATAATATATCAATGTAAATTATAATGCACACATATATCAATGTAAATTATAATTTAATTAAGTGACACTTTTAAAAATTTAGTTAAATTAATTTCATATAAAATATATGTGTGCATTAAAAAATAGTTAATTAATTTAACTTAAAATTATAAGGGATACTGCATATGTAGAATTTAAACTTTAAAAGTTATAATGCATATATATAATGGGAAATTGTTAAAAATACCCCTTTTGGTGTGCCCTTTTTCAAAAATGCCCTTTTAGATGTCCATTTTCAAAAATGCCCCTTTTTAAATCTGAAATTTTTATAAAGTTTTATTAGGTTTATAAGGTACTTATGGATTGTAACTACTACTTGAAGATTCGATCCAAGTATTTATAAGGTTTTATAAGGTGTTTTTAAAGGTTTTACAAGTTATTTTAAAGGATTTTTATGGTTTTTCAAAGGTTTTACAAGATATTTTAAAGGTTTTTAAAGGTATTTAAAATGCATTTATAAGGTATTTATAAAGTATTTATAAGATTTTAGATACATAGAAATGTAGTTTGTGTATGTTTTAATAATATTACATACATATTTAGGTAAATCTTATATTTTTAAGAGCATTTTTTATAAGGTTTTTAAAAATGGGTATTTTTGAAAAGTGGCATTGAAAAAGTGGTATTTTTGCAAAAGCCCTATATATAATTAACAATAGTGTATTATTTACTTTTAGTTATTTTTTCATTTTGTAATTTAGTTTTTAAAAAATGATGGAAATATTTCGTGTAGTTAACAATACATTTATATTATCTAGAAATGATGGTTATGGTATATAATTTACATTGATATATTATTTAGTTTTATTTAATTTATAGTGATGTATAATTTAACTAAGTGACTATTTTAAATTTTTAACAATTTAATATAATAAATATTAAATTAGTTAAATTAATTTAACTTAAAAGTATAATGCATTAAAAGTTATAATATATATATATATATATAATTTATAATAGTGTAATATTTACTTTTTAGTTATTTTTTTATTTTTTAATTACTTTTTTAAAAAAAAATTGATGGAAAATATTTCGTGTAGTTGACAAAAAAAAGAAATACTTCGTGTAGTTAATAAGACATTTATATTATCTGAAAATGATGGTTATGGTGTTGCACACATAACCGATGATAGTTCGGGGATGTCCGTATGTAATACCAATAGTTCGTGTAGTTAGCGAGACATTAAAATAGTCTGCATGTGTGGTGATGTGTTGGCGTATAGTTCGTGTAGCTAGCAATGATTTTTCCATAATTTAACTAAGTGACTATTTTAAATTTTTAACAATTTAATATAATAAATATTAAATTAGTTAAATTAATTTAACTTAAAAGTATAATGCATTAAAAGTTCTAATATATATATATATATATATATAATTTATAATAGTGTAATATTTACTTTTTAGTTATTTTTTATTTTTTAATTACTTTTAAAAAAAAAAAATTTGATGGAAAATACTTTGTGTAGTTGACAAAAAAAAGAAATACTTCGTGTAGTTAACAAGACATTTATATTATCTGAAAATGATGGTTATGGTGTTGCACACATAACCGATGATAGTTCGGGGATGTCCGTATGTAATACCAATAGTTCGTGTAGTTAGCGAGACATTAAAATAGTGTGCATGTGTGGTGATGTGTTGGCATATAATTCGTGTAGGTGGCAATGATTTTTCCTATCTGCCCATAAATAGTATGTTATTAATCTTACTATTTTTATATATTCTTTAGATTTTCCCTTTTTAATTTTCTTATAAACAATTACACATAAAATTTCTAGATGCTCGTATTACATTTTGTAATTTATTGTATATATGTATAGGATTTAAAAGCAGGTCTATATCTATATATACATGAAGGTATGGTCCGTATGGATTGTGAAATTACTAGCTCCTACCGAAGGACACCTGTGTGTACCAATAGTATGCAGTATGCACCTATGTGACTATGTCCAAGTGGGGTCAACTTTTTATATTTTTTCCTTTTCATTTCTAAATGATGAAAATTAATGTTTTAATTAACCGAAATATTTGCAAAAACGAATGATTTTTTTTATGGCAAGTGCTTTTTTAATAACATAAATTTAATTCTTTTTTAGTTACAAATATATGTCATTTTATTATTTGATAGCTTTTTATTTAAATTTTACATGCTATCATCTAATTGTTGCAAAAATAAAAGGGTTTTCTAATTTATCAACAGTTTTGCCATAATAGTTTGTTTGCTCATATTTGTTCCCATATAATTATTTATCCAAATAATATTATTCGCCTGTGAACTTCCGAACCTTTAAATTCTAAAAATCGATCGAAGTGTATGTAAATAATTAATTTAATTAGATTCGTCAAACATTCGACATTAGAAAATGTCAAATACCTTAGATGCGTGTGGGTGCAGTCGTGCAGACGTGCAGTGTGGTGCGCACTGTGCACATGCATATTGAGGCATTCGTATAGTGAATGTTATTGACGTCCACGAATTGTTGAATATCGGAAACTAGCATGAAAATAATGAATTATATAATACTCCTAAATCCTAATGTTTTGTGATAATTATAGCCACGTCGTATTAAAGCGCATGTGTAATGAACAAGGTTCTTGCATGAACAGTTGAACACTTTAGAAGGATATTGAAATTGAATACACAAGACGTTAATATATTTTACGTCAATCCCGATCACTACTGCATTTTTCGAAATAAAATCAATGTGTTCACTCGCAGATATTAGACGATGTTGAAATTAATATGATTAGTAAACACATCTACGATAAGCATTTTAGTGAAATTAATTAATTGTCTTAGTTCTTTTTTTCCCTGTATATGAACATGTTTCTATATATAACCATCTGGTTGACCAGTTGCTCAAACCAGATACGAGGAGTTTACATATAAAAAATCTCTAGAATGACCTCTAATAATTCGAGTCAAACAACATCGGCTTATGAAAATATTAAAATGTTAAATTTTGCATCATCAAAACATTTTTTGTTGTTACCATCAATATAATGATTACAACAATATGTGGTTTTATTATTGTCAATAG